TGGGGGTGTGGGTGGGAGCCCCAAGCTGTGCCATGGGGCGGGGGTAGGGGATGTCTCCCTCCCGCCCCATGGCCCTGGCGTTTGCTGATGCCTGCGCTTGGTGCTGCAGATCTGGCTGTGACCCAGGACAGCTGCTGCTACCCGCCGGGGCTGCTGCCCAGACAGACGTCACCCCCGAGCGCACCCCACCCGCAGACCTCCCCGCTGCTGCACCCGCTCGTTGGGCAGCACGTCCTCTCCGTCAAGCAGTTCACCAAGGAGCAGGTACTGTGCAGCGAGGGGTGGCGGGGGTCTCTCCCCTGGGAGCAGAGGGGCTGGGGCAGGGCCTGGGGGGCCGGAGTGCGTGCGGCCCCCGGCTGAAGGCTGTCTCGTTCCAGATGTCCCACCTCTTTAACGTGGCACACAGCCTGCGCATGCTGCTGCAGAAGGAGCGGAGCCTGGACATCCTCAAGGTGAGCTGGGGCCGGCAGGGCACTGCAGGGGGAGGGATCTGGGCAGGGCTGGAAAAGGCAGGGAAGGGGATCCTGGCCTCACAGCGGGGCAGGATCAGGGTGGGTGCTGGGGGCGATTGGGGTCCCACTGTGGGGGGAAAGCTGGGATCGGGACCCTGCCGTGATGGGGGCTGGGGTGGAGGATAGGGAGCTGGGGGGATCGGAGCACTGGCATGGGGGGGATTGGGGCCTCGCCATGCTCACGGTCTCCCCTCCCCTGCAGGGGAAGGTCATGGCCTCCATGTTCTACGAGGTGAGCACCAGGACCAGCAGCTCCTTCGCGGCGGCCATGTACCGCCTGGGGGGCTCCGTCCTGGCCTTGTCCGAGTCCACGTCCTCGGCCCAGAAGGGCGAGTCCCTGGCCGACTCGGTGCAGACCATGTGCTGTTACGCTGACGTGCTGGTGCTCCGCCACCCCCGGCCGGGGGCTGTGGAGGTGAGGGGCCCCAGGGGTCAGCTCCGTGGGGCAGGGCCAGGGGACTGGGTTAGGCTGTGCTCAGCCCCGTGGGGTGGGAGCAGGGGGCAGGGGGCTGGGTTAGGCTGTGCTCGGCCCCGTGGGGCGGGGGCGGGGGCTGGCCCGTGGCTGCGCTGGGCCCTGTGGGGCTGGGGGCGGGGTTAGGCTGTGCTGGGCGGCGGGGGGCGGGGTGTGAGCTGGCCCCCCTGTGCCCAGCCCGTGTGTCGTTTGCAGCTGGCTGCCAAGCAGTGCCGGAAGCCGGTGATCAATGCCGGGGACGGCGTCGGGGAGCACCCCACGCAGGCCCTGCTGGACATCTTCACCATCCGCGAGGAGCTGGGCACCGTCAACGGCATGACGGTAAGGGGGCCGGGCCCACCCACGCTGTGCCGCGTCTCGGGCCTGGCTCCAGGGCCCCAGGCCGGGGGCTCAGGCCCGTGCAGCCGGGGGATCGGGGGCCGTCGCTGCGCTGGGTCTCGGCTCTGACGCTGGCCCCAGACCCCGCCGGGAGTCGCGTGCAGCCCTGCGAGCGGGTGGGGGCGAGGGCCGCGGGCCCCTGCTGGCTGGGCTCCAGCTTGCTGCTGTCTCTCCCCAGATCACCATGGTGGGGGACCTGAAGCACGGGCGCACCGTGCACTCGCTGGCCTGCCTCCTGACGCAGTACCGCGTCAACCTGCGCTACGTCACGCCCCGCGACCTCGGCATGCCCGCCGACATCATCCACTTCGTAGCCTCCAAGGGCATCAAGCAGGTGAGCCGCTGTGTGCCAGGGCCCCCGCCCCCGGGCCCGGCAATGCCCCCCGGGCCCGGCAATGCCCCTGCCCCGCGCTAACGCCCTGCCCTCCCCAGGAGGAGTTCGACAGCATCGAGGAGGCTCTCCCTGACACAGATGTGCTGTATGTCACCCGCATCCAGAAGGAGCGATTCGACTCCGTGCAGGAGTATGAGGCAGTAAGTGCGGCCGCTGCCCCGTGGGGCCTGCGAGCTGCTTCCTGGGGTTGCTCTGGCCCTGGCAAGGCCTCGAGGTTTGGGGGTGGGGGGCTTGGCTGCAGGAGCCTTGCTGTGTCTCTAGGCCCCCTTCACTGCTGTCCAGGGGACTGCAAAGTGTGGAGCAATGTAACAGTGCCCTGAGGGTGACCAGGCCCCAGGGGGGGCAGGGCAGGGTGTGGGGTGAACAGGTTGTGGGGTGGGGGGGTGACTGGGTGGGGTGCAAGCCCCTCGGGGTGCAAGCATATTTCTGCCAGGCTGAGAACGGGGGCAGTAGGGTGACCAGGTGGGGAGTCCCAGGGGCAGGAGGGTGGGGGGTGGCCAGGCATCTGGACCCCAGGAGGGCAACTAGGTGGGGGGAGTGAGGTGGCAAGGCCCTGGGTGTGGTAGGGTGGCTATGCCAGGCAGGAGCAGTGATGCCTGTGGTCCTGCCCATCCCTGGGGTGCTAACAGCCTCTCCCCCCGGCCAGTGCTTCGGGCAGTTTATCCTCACCCCGCACATTATGACCAGAGCCAAGAAGAGGATGGTGGTCATGCACCCGCTGCCTCGCGTCAATGAGATCAGGTGAGGGGCTCTGGGCTGGGGGTTGTGACTCCAGGGTCCCTTCACCCCAGCGGGGGCTTCCAAGCGCCTAGCAGTGACTCTCCCCTTGCTCCCTAGTGTGGAGGTGGACTCGGACCCCCGAGCAGCATATTTCCGCCAGGCTGAGAACGGCATGTACATCCGGATGGCTCTGCTGGCCACGGTGCTGGGCAGATACTAGAGACCCCAGCCTGGGCAGTGCAGCTGCGGCAGGAACCCCAGTGCTCCAGACCTGGTCAGCGATGGACGGACTCACGGATGGACCCAGCTCCTCTTCCCCCCACCCCACTCCCCCCTCCCCGGGCAGCAGGGCCTGCACTGAGCAAGGCCTCCTGCTGACCCACTGCTTGCCAGGGCAGCTGGGGCTGGGCAGGGGCAGCAGCGTGCCAGCTGGCTGGCTGAGGCTCAGAACAGGTCATACTTGTATCATTCCAGGGGGCAGAGCAGCCTGCATGTGCTGTGGGGAGGGAGTGGTGTGGGGTGTACTGCCCTGGGGCATTAAAACCTCTGGGGCTCGCAAGCTCCTTGGTATCTGGGTTGGGGTGGCGCCTGCTGGCTTGCCTGGTACCTGTTGCGGGAGCTGGGGCTGGCTCCCCACAGGGTCTCCGGCGACGGCTGCTCCCTAGCCCTCCTCGGCCATGGTTCCTAGCCCGGCCTGGGACCATCTCCCTTCCCAGCAGGGGCGTGCCCTCTGGCTCCAGCTGCCCCGGGCCCCTTTCGGCCTCCTCTGCCCCTCCTGCTTCAGCCCCCAAGGCTGTGGCTCGCCAGTCAGAGGGGTCATGGAGAAGGGGGGGGAGCTCTTTTCTCCAGGTCTGTCTCCCTCCCCCTTTCCTCCACTTGCCGAGCAGCCCCAGCCTCTTGTAGCAGGAGTTTAGTCCCCCCCCATGCTGTGACTCTGGCCTCGAGCACAGTGCAGGGGCAGAGCGTGTTCCGCCCTGGGCACTGCTGGCCCCATAGCAAGGGGGCGAGGGGCACCTGTAGAGCGACTTCTCTACACACGCCACTGTGAACTGACCGGCTTTCCTCGGTTTGAATAAACTGAGCTGGATGCACCCTCGGCCCGTGTCGTCTGTCCAGAGCAGCCGCTGCCCCCTCAGTCGTGTTCCTGCACCTGGAGCCTGCCGCGCGTGGGCTGAGCACGATGCCAGGAGTGCTGTGGGTAACCTCGTGGCCGCTTGCGTGGCAGCTGGCTCTGGCCAAGAAAAGGCCCTGGGGTGAATGCGCCCCCCTGTGGAGTACAAGGGGCAGGGGCAAGGGAAATATTTATTCGCAGAGGGATGGATGGAGAAAAGCACCGGGGTGAAGGGCCAGGTTGCGGTGACATGGGGTTACATCCACCACGGGGCTCCCAAGCCCAGCAGTACCCCAGGGGGCCAGGGCAGCCCCCGAGCAACGTCTCTGAACCCAGAGTGCAGGAGTCCCAGGCCCTGTGCCAGTCGAGCAGTGAGGCTTGGGTGCCGGTAGCTCCCGCCAGTGATCCTCGCCTACCTCTGCTCCTGCCCTGTAACTTTCCACAACCCCTGCCTGCTCCTACCCTGCAACCCCCCCTAATCCCGCCTGCCTGCTCCTGCCCTGCAATCCCCCCCCCAACCCCCCCCGGCCTGCTCCTGCCCTGCAATCCCCCCCCAACCCCCCCCGGCCTGCTCCTGCCCTGCAAATCCCCCCCCCCCCCCTGCCTGCTCCTACCCTCAACCCCCCCCTAATCCTGCCTGCCTGCTCCTGCCCTGCAATCCCCCCCCCCCAACCCCCCCCGGCCTGCTCCTGCCCTGCAATCCCCCCCCAACCCCCCCCGGCCTGCTCCTGCCCTGCAATCCCCCCCCCAACCCCCCCGGCCTGCTCCTGCCCTGCAATCCCCCCCCAACCCCCCTGCCTGCTCCTACCCTGCAACCCCCCCCTAATCCCGCCTGCCTGCTCCTGCCCTGCAATCCCCCCCCAACCCCCCCCCGGCCTGCTCCTGCCCTGCAATCCCCCCCCAACCCCCCCCCGGCCTGCTCCTACCCTGCAACCCCCCTCCAACCCCGCCTGCCTGCTCCTACCCTGCAACCCCCCCTAATCCCGCCTGCCTGCTCCTGCCCTGCAATCCCCCCCCCAACCCCCCCCCCGGCCTGCTCCTACCCTGCAACCCCCCCCTAATCCCGCCTGCCTACTCCTGCCCTGCAATCCCCCCCCCCAACCCCCCCCCGGCCTGCTCCTGCCCTGCAATCCCCCCCAACCCCCCCCCGCCTGCTCCTGCCCTGCAATCCCCCCCAACCCCCCCGCCCTGCTCCTGCCCTGCAAACCCCCCCAATCCCGCCTGCCTGCTCCTGCCCTGCAATCCCCCCGGCCTGCTCCTACCCTGCAACCCCCCCCAAGCCCCCCCGCCTGCTCCTGCCCTGCAACCCCCCCCGCCCCCGGAGCTCGCTGCCCGCCCTCTCCCAGGGCGGGTCCCGGCCCCGCAGGGCTCTGGGCGGCGGGGGCGGGGGCCCGGCTCGGGGCGGGGCCGGCGGGGGGCGCCCCGGGGGGGTGACGTTGCCGGGGGGGCCCCGCCCCGCCCCGCGGCCAGATCCGGAGCCCGGCGGGGCGGGAGCGTCAGAGGGTCGCGCGCCCCCGGCAGGTGGGGGCGGGGCGGCCGGTCCCTGAGTGTCACGTGACGTATGAGGCCCGCCCACTTGTGCATGTGACCGGAAGTCATCGGGCTCGTGGGCCCGAGTAACCGGAAGTGTGCGTGGATGTCGCTTCCCGCTGCGCCAATAGGCTGCGGAGGGGCGGGCTGGAGGCGGTGGCACAGGTACGGGGGGGATGGGCGGTGTTAATGACGTCACCGGGCGTTATTCTCACCAGGGTCCCGGCCCCCGGGGGTGTCAGCGGGGCGGGTCACGTGGGGCGCAGGCACAGCTGGGGGTGGGGGGGTGGGGTCAGGTCACATGAGGCAGTAGGGGGTGGGGTCAGGTCACGTGGGGGGCAGTCAGCTGGGGGTCAGGTCATGTGTGGGGGGTCAGGTCACGGGGGGGGCTGTTACAGCCGGGGGTCGGGTCACGGGTCAGGTCACATGGGGGCTGTCACAGCTGGGGGGTGGGGTCAAGTGGGGGGCTGTCACAGGGCGTAGGGGGGGGTCAGGTCACAGGGGGCTGGGTCAGGTCATGGGGGAGTCAGGTCACTGGGGGCTGTCACAGCTGGGGAGTCAGGTCACAGCTGGGGGGTGGGGTCAAGTCATGGGGGGGTCAGGTCCCATGGGGGCTGTCACAGCGGGGGGGTGGGGTCAAGTCACAGGGGGCAGTAGGGAGTGGTGTCAGGTCATGGGGGAGCTGTCACAGCTGGGGGGGTGGGTTCAGGTCACATGGGGGGGTCAGGTCACATGGGGGCTGTCACAGCTGGGGGCTGGGGTCAAGTCATGGGGGGGTCAGGTCCCATGGGGGCTGTCACAGCGGGGGGGTGGGGTCAAGTCACAGGGGGCAGTAGGGGGTGGTGTCAGGTCATGGGGGAGCTGTCACAGCTGGGGGGGTGGGTTCAGGTCACATGGGGGGGTCAGGTCACATGGGGGCTGTCACAGCTGGGGGCTGGGGTCAAGTCATGGGGGGGTCAGGTCCCATGGGGGCTGTCACAGCGGGGGGGTGGGGTCAAGTCACAGGGGGCAGTAGGGGGTGGTGTCAGGTCATGGGGGAGCTGTCACAGCTGGGGGGGTGGGTTCAGGTCACATGGGGGGGCTGTCACAGCTGGGGGGTGGCACTCCGGGGGGGCTGGTCTCCGAGCTTTCCGTGAGCTGGGGGGTCCAGCTGGGAATGAGGTCCTGGGAGCTGAGCGCAGCACCCCAGCGCCGGGGAGCAGGACTGGCCCCAACGCCCCGAGTCTGCACCCCTCCCTGGGGTCCCGTAGCTGCCCAGAGTCCGGGACAGCTCAGAAAGTGCCTCCTCTCAGTGGCCCCGCTTCCCTCGTGTGTCCTCGGCCAGTGACAGCGGGCCGGGGCGCTGGGTGTGTCTGTGCAGGAGATGGGGCAGCACCTGCCCCAGAGCGCCAGGGGGCCCAGCACTGGGCTCAGCATGCGCCAGGCACGAGGGGCCTGACCTCTTCCTGGTAGGCGCTGGCGCTCTCAGAGAGGAGAGACCAGGTGAAGTCTGGCAACCCCACACCGCCTAGGGCCAGCCCTTCATCCGGGGGTGAGAGGTGTCTGTGCTGGGCCCATGTAACGAGCTTCAGGCAGGGGGTGCAGTTTAAGGCCAGTCACCTGGACACTTTCCCATTAAGAGCTTGAAAAGAAAATCCTCTTCCCTGGCTTCTCCTCCTGCCCCTGACCAGCCCCCAGCACTGGGGCATGCAGGCCGGGAGGGGAGTGAGGAGAGACCAGCGAAGAGCATTTCGGCTCTCATTAAATCTCTGCTAGAGGGTCCCCAGCAGCCAGGGCAGCCAGCCTGGGCAAGTGCCTTGCTGGGTGGATTTCTTGCCTGCAGCCACAGCTCTTGGACTCAGAGACTTTAGGGCCAGACAGGCCAGTTGTGATCATCTAGCCTGACCTCCTGCATATGGCAGGCCACAGAACCTCACCCCCCTCCCCTGTGGTACACCCAGAGCCTCTGGCTGAGTCACTGACGTCCTCAAATCAGGATTTAAAGACTTCACGTGACAGACGCCACCATTCACAATAGTTCAAACCAGCGAGTGACCAGGGTCCCAGGCTGCAGAGGGAGGCGAGACCCCCCCAGGGTCCCTGCCAAGCTGACCCGGGGAAAATTCCTTCCCCGCCCTAAATCCAGGGATCAGTTAGACCCTGGGCACGTGGGTGAGACCCACTAGCCAGACACCTGGGAAAGAATTCTCTGCAGCAGCTCAGAGCCCTTCCCCCCCAGTGCCCCATCACCGGCCGTTGGGGATATTTGCTGCTAGCGGTCGCAGATCAGCTCCATGCCATCGCAGACAGCCCCATCACACCACCCCCTCCATAAACTGATCACGCTGAGGCTGGAAGCCAGTTCGGGGTTTTGCCCCCACTGCTCCCCTTGGGCGGCTGCTCCAGAACTTCACTCCTCTGGTGGTGAGAAACCTCCATCTAATTGCAAGTCTGAACGTGCTGATGGCTAGTCTCTAGCCGTGTGTTCCTGTGCCCACATGGGCACTTTGCTTCAATAACCCCTCTCCCAGCCCGGTGTTTATCCCTGGGGTGGATTTGGAGAGAGCAATCCCATCTCCCCTCGGCCTGCGTCTGGTCAGGCTAAACAAGCCGAGCTCGTTGAGTCTCCTCCCGTAAGGCAGGTTCTCCATTCCTCCCATCAGCCTCGTCGCCCTTCTCTGCACCTCTTCCAGTCTGGTTTCATCGTCCTTCCCCGTGGCAGAGCAGCCCTGCCCACAGTGCTCCGCTGAGGGCTCACCAGTGCCTGGTAGAGTGATACTAACTCTGCCCGTCTCTCTGGGAAATCCCTCGCCTGATGCACCCTAGGACTGTGTTAGCTTTTTTCACAGCCGCATCACGCTGGCGGCTCATAGTCCCCCTGTGATCGACCCCTGCACCCGGGTCTCTCCTCCTCCCTTGCTTCCAAAGGAGACGTCCCCAGCTTAGAGCAGGGATTCTGGTTGTTAGTCCCCAAGTGTGTGACCTGGCACCTTGGCATGGATATCTCTGCTCTCCACCCTTGGTTTGGGCCTGCTTGGCACTGGGCTGGGGGAGCAGGTGGTGCTGGAGATGAGTGTGTCCTGGGGCAGTTACCCACCTGTGCCCAGTGTGGTGCTGTGAGCACTGGCCTACAGGAGGACACAGGACTGAAGCCTGACCTGGTGTACATGTGGGCCCTGCCCTAGGCGCTCTCACACTGGCGGGGGGCTGATTCTCCTCCACTTCCTGCCCCAGGAGTCTGTGCCACCGTTAAACAGACGCAGTCTCTCACTTGCCATGCCGGCCACTGGGAAGGCTGCAGAGGGGACTGCTGGGCGAGGAGGGGGAACAGGGCAGTGTGACTTACCTCTGTCTTCTCTTATGCAGCTGGCTGCAGGCAGGATGGCAGCGCTGTGGAGGTCGTACCAGCGGCTCATGGCCCAGCACCCCTGGAAGGTGCAGATCCTCACAGCTGGTAAGAGCCTCTGGCTGTTCCTTCAAGTGGCTCTGTCTGGGGCTTTCTTGGAGGAGAGTTGCTATGAGGCTGAGCACGGGGCAGGCCCCAGGCCCAGGAACTGCAGGGTGGAGTGAGGCAAAGGTGCGTGGAGTGAGCTGGGTCTCATGCTCCGGAGCTGGGACCCTTCTAGCAGCTGTCTGCGCTCAGGTCTGGGGACAGAGAATGCTGCGCCCCAGGGGCTTGAGAGGTGGGCAGGGGGACAGGCTGAGTGCCGCTGCTGGGCAGCTGGCTGTAGCCAGGGGCACGGGCAGGCAAGAGGCCTACCTAGGCTGGGCTGGCCCAGCTCCTTACCCTTGATGCCCTGGTATTACCAGGACCTGGCTGAACGTGCAGAGTTGCTGCTTCGGGGCCGAGAGCAAAGCTGGTGGATGGCTAGGAGCAGCCATTTGGGTCGTCCCCTCGCCAGTAAGTGAGCCAGGGCCTTCCCCCCATGCCTCCCCTCTGCTTGGGTTGCTGGGGAAGGTGCTAGTTCCAAGTCTGACATGTGAGCCAGCCCCGGGAGGGGCTGCAGGTATGCATGGCTCACACACGTGTCTGTCCTGTGTGCGTCTGTCACTCACCCAGCCCAACCCTGACTGCAGCTTCAGCGGTGACTGCTGGGCTGTGTTGGGGAGGGTGGGGGGCTCAGGGACCCTTTCAGTAGGCTCACAAGCCTCCTGCAGGTGCTGGGCCCCCTACCCTCCCTAAGGATCCCCACACCTGAGCCAGTCTGTTTACATGACAAATCTGAGGAACTGTCCCAGACTGTGGTGTTAGCAGAGGAGGTCTGGGAACAAATTGATAAATTACACAGCAATACGTCCCCAGGACCAGAAGGTATCACCCAAGGGTTCTGAAGGAACTCAGATATGAAATTGCAGAACTGCCAGCTGAGGTGTGTAACCTATCGCTTAAATCAGCCTCTGGACCAGATGACTGAGAGCTAATGTGATGCCAATTTTTAAAAAGGTTTCAGAGGAGCAGCCGTGTTAGTCTGTATCCGCAAAAAGAACAGGAGGACTTGTGGCACCTTAGAGACTAACCAATTTATTTGAGAATAAGCTTTCGTGAGCTACAGCTCACTTCATCGGATGCATAGAATGGAACATAGAGTAAGAAGATATATATATTCATACAGAGAAGGTGGAAGTTGCCAATAAACTGTAAGAGGCTAATTAATTAAGATGAGCTATTATCAGAGGCGATCCTGGCAATTACAGGCTTACTTGGAGTCCTTGTGGATAATTCTCTGAAAATATCCACTCAGTATGCAGCAGCAGTCAAAAAAGAGAACAATGTTAGGAACTGTTGGAAAGGGATAGATAATAAGACAATGAATAACATAATGTCACTCTAGAAATCCACCTTGAATACTGCGGGCAATTCTGGTCGCCCCATCTCAAAAACGATACATTAGAATTGGAAAAACAAAGAGAGAGGCAACAAAAATGATTAGGGGGATGGAACAGCTTCCATATGAGGAGAGATTAAAAAGACCAGGACTGTTCAGTTTAAGGGCTCCAGAGGCAGTTACAGGCCGGTAAGCCGGACTTAACTGCTGGGCAAGCTGGTTGAAACTATAGTAAAGAACAGAATTGTCAGACATATAGATGAACATGATATGTTGGGGAAGAGTCAACATGGTTTTTGTGAAGGGAAATCATGCCTCACCAATCTGCTAGAATTCTTTGAGGGAGCATGTGGACAAGGGGGATCCAGTGGATATAGTGTTCTTAGATTTCCAGAAAGCCTTTGACAAGGTCCTTCACCAAAGGCCCTTAAGCAAAGTAAGGAGTCATGGGATAAGAGGGAAGGTCCTCTCATGGATTGGTAACTGGTTAAAAGACCAGAAACAAAGGGTAGGAATAAATGGTCAGTTTTCAGAATGGAGAGAGGTAAATAGTGGTGTCCCCCTGGGGTCTGTTCTGGGCCCAGTCCTATTCAACCTATTCATAGATGATCTGGAAAAAGGGGTAAACAGTGAGGTGGCAAAATTTGCAGATGATACAAAACTACTCAAGATAGTTAAGTCCCAGGCAGACTGCGAAGAGCTACAAAAGGATCTCACAAAACTGGGTAACTGGGCTACAAAATGGCAGGTGAAATTCAATGTTGATAAATGCAGAGTAATGCACAGTGGGAAATATAATCCCAGCTATACATATACAATGATGGGGTCTAAATTAGCTGTTACCACTCAAGAAAGAGATCTTGGAGTCACTGTAGATAGTTCTCTGAAAACATCCACTCGATGTGCAGCAGCAGTCAAAAAAGCAAACAGAACGTTGGGAATCGTTAAGAAAGAGATAGATAAGAAGACAGAAAATATCATATTGCCTCTATATAAATCCATGGGATGTCCACATCTTGAATACTGCGTGCAGATGTGGTCGCCCCATCTCAAAAAAGATATTTTGGATTTGGAAAAGGTTCAGAAAAGGGCAACAAAAATTATTAGGGGTTTGGAGCAGCTTCCATATGAGGAGAGATTAATAAGACTGGGACTTTTCAGTTTGGAAAAGAGATGACTAAGGGGGGATATGATAGAGGTCTATAAAATCATGACTGGGCAGGAATGATGTCCCTAGCCTCTGTTTGCCGGAAGCTGGGAATGGACGACAGGGGATGGATCACTTGATGATTCCCTGTTCTGTTCATTCCCTCTGGGGCCCCTGGTACTGCCCGCTGGTGGCAGACAGGACAGCGGGGGAGGCTGGCATCACCCTTACCCGTTGGAGCCCATCCAGTTCCCTCCCATGTAGGTAGGAGGCAAAGGCTCCCTCTGCCCCAGAGCAGAATGCACTGGTCAGGGGCTATGGGGCGGGTGAGCCCTGAGAAGGAGCCTGGCTTCAGGGCAGGGGTGTCCCCCTCCCATGCAGCTGCTCTGTGGGGAAGTGGGTGGAGCTTGTGGCTGTGTGGGTGGGGATGTTTGCGTGTGCATCTGTCTGTGTGTGTGCGCGTCTTGCTGTGGGTGGTGTGGTGTGCGTGTGTCTCTGTGCGTACATGTGTCCGTGTTTGCACGTGTGTGTGTGTGACTTTGGGTGGAGACGTGTGTGTGTGCGTGTCTCTGTGTGTGCGTGTGTCCGTGTTTGCACGTGTGTCTCTGTGCGTGTGTGCGTGTGTGACTTTGGGTGGAGACGTGTGTGTGTGTGTGTGTGTCTGTGCGTGTGTGTGAGTGACTTTGGGTGGAGACGTGTGTGCGTGCGCGTGTCTCTGTGCGTGTGTGTGTGTGACTTTGGGTGGAGACGTGTGTGTGTGCGCGTGTCTCTGTGCGTGCGTGTGTGTGACTTTGGGTGGAGACGTGTGTGTGTGCGCGTGTCTCTGTGCGTGTGTGTGTGACTTTGGGTGGAGACGTGTGTGCGCGCGTGTCTCTGTGCGTGTGTGTGTGTGACTTTGGGTGGAGACGTGTGTGTGCGTGTGTCTCTGTGCATGTGTGTGTGTGTGTGTGACTTTGGGTGGAGACGTGTGTGCGCGCGTGTCTCTGTGCGTGTGTGTGTGTGCGTGTGTGACTTTGGGTGGAGACGTGTGTGTGTGCGCGTGTCTCTGTGCGTGTGTGTGTGACTTTGGGTGGAGACGTGTGTGTGCGTGTGTCTCTGTGCGTGTGTGTGTGTGTGTGACTTTGGGTGGAGACGTGTGTGTGCGCATGTCTCTGTGTGCGTGTGTGACTTTGGGTGGAGACGTGTGTGTGCGCGTGTCTCTGTGCGTGTGTGTGTGTGTGTGACTTTGGGTGGAGACGTGTGTGTGCGTGTGTCTCTGTGCGTGTGTGTGTGTGTGTGTTCTACTTAAAGTCCTGCACAGGCTCTTTTCGGGGGAATAAGGCCAAGCGCCGCATTTATTGGTGACCCATGCATCAATCAACACTGTGCCGTAGGCACATGGCCGATATCACACTCCTGCGCCCACACAGAAGCACGCTCTGCTTGTTACTGTTACCAACTAGTTGCTTCCCAGGAGTTTTCAAAGATAATGGCCAATGGCTCTGCAATCACAGCCGCCAATTCCTTTAGCACTCTCGGATGCAACTCGTCCGGCCCCATGGACTTGTGCACGTCCAGCTTTTCTAAATAGTCCCTAACCACCTCTATCTCCACAGAGGGCTGGCCATCTCTTCCCCATGTTGTGATGCCCAGCGCAGCAGTCTGGGAGCTGACCTTGTTAGTGAAAACAGAGGCAAAAAAAACATTGAGTACATTAGCTTTTTCCACACCCTCTGTCACTAGGTTGCCTCCCTCATTCATTAAGGGGCCCACACTTTCATTGGCTTTCTTCTTGTTGCCAACATACCTGAATAAACCCTTCTTGTTGCTCTTAACATCTCTCGCTAGCTGCAGCTCCAGGTGCGATTTGGCCCTCCTGATATCATTCCTACATGCCCGAGCAATATTTTTATACTCTTCCCTGGTCATATGTCCAACCTTCCACTTCTTGTAAGCTTCTTTTTTATGTTTAAGATCCACTAGGATTTCACCGTTAAGCCAAGCTGGTCGCCTGCCATATTTACTATTCTTTTGACACATCGGGATGGTTTGTCCCTGTAACCTCAACAGGGATTCCTTGAAATACAGCCAGCTCTCCTGGACTCCTTTCCCCTTCATGTTAGTCCCCCAGGGGGTCCTGGCCATCCGTTCCCTGAGGGAGTCGAAGTCTGCTTTCCTGAAGTCCAGGGTCCGTATCCTGCTGCTTACCTTTCTTCCCTGCGTCAGGATCCTGAATACAAAGTTTCTATATAAGGGTTTGATGCCAAGTTCCTATATCAAAGGACTAGATACAAAGTTGTATGAAAATAGAGGTTATATATGAAAAGACTAATACAAGGTTATATGAAGAGGCATAATACAAAGTCATATGAAAGTTCTGCGAAGACGCCTAGTGCAGAGATTTATCTGCACGTGCGTTAGTGTGTTGCTGGTGTGGGGATGCGTGCGGGTGTCTCTGTGTGTGGGGGTGTTGCTGTGGGTGCAGACGTGGGGCTGGGGTGC